TTAAAAAAAAAAAAAAGGGAGCACAAAAAATGTAAGTGTAAAAATAAAGAAATATATATATGTATTACTAATTTTTAAAGATTCTTTTTTTTTTTTTTTTTTTTTTTAATAAATATTACAACTTTGAATGATACTTAATTTTTATAAAGTGCATATAAAAAATTATTTAAATAAAATACATATGCAAATGTGTAAAATAAGTTTGTGCTTATTTTTATTTGATTCTAAAAAATAAAATTTAAATATTCTTTTAAAAAAATACTAAAATTTTTACCTTCTGTTACACACGTTACATTAACTAAAAATTTCTCAACATATATATTTTTAAATAAGTATATTTATATATATTTTTTTTTTAAATATTAAAAAATTTTCATACAAAAAATTAATTTTTCTATAATAAAATTAACACACATTAAGTATCAAAAAAAAAAAAAAAGCATATAATTAATTTAAAATTAAAAAATTTAATAAAAATATATATAAATCAATAATAATTAAATTGAAATAAATAAAAGAAATTAAAGTGTAATATTGTTAAAGAGTTAATTATTCAGAAGAGTTAATCAATATAAATGAAGAAAAAAAAAAAAAAAAAAAAAAAAAAAAAAAAAAAAAAAAAAAAAAAAAAAAACACTACACAAAATCATTCAGTGAAAATAAAGTAAAAAATAAATTAAAAAAAAAAAAAAAAGAGAAAATAAAGCACTTAACTATCCTATATATCTAGCTAATATACAAGTAGCATAAAAAAGAAGAATAAAAATTGAATTAATTTATATAAGTTATTGAATTTAAAAAACTTTAATAGATATTTATGTTAATGATATTTTATCAAACTATTTTTTTAATTTTTAAATATATATATATATATATATGATCAAATATTCTTACACTGAAGTTGTCGTTTAAAATGTTATATTGCCTATTTTTATTTTTTTTTTTTTTTTTATTGTTTAGTTGCATGCATAACCTTTTCAAAATTTTAACAAGACACATTAAAAATAAAAATATTATTCAAAAAAATGAGAATTAACATTTTTATTTATTTATTATGTATTTCTTTTAAATATATATAAGGAATAAAGTTAATTTTTTAAAAGAAAAGTAGATGAGTCTACCTTTTTACAAAACACACAACATATCTTTTTGAAATAAATAAAAAAAGAGGAAATTTTTATTTTTTTAATTTGATTAATTTTGATTAAGTAAATTATATAAATTCGTGGATATATTTGTATTTTAACTTATTTATTTATGAATCATATATAGCTTGTAAAATATGTTGATTAAACTTATTTGATTTGTTCTATTATCATTTTAAAAATATATGAGAATGAAAATTAGTATTTTTCTTTTTTTTTTTTTTACAATGTTTAAAAAAATGTATGCATGTGTTTTTATTTTATTTTTTTTTTTTTTTTTTTTTACTTTTAATATTCTACACATATCTCATAATGTATATCCATATTTAACTATTTTTATTTATATATATATCATTGTCTAATTTATATTTTTTTTTTTTTTTTTTTTAGAATAAATAAAAGCAAATAGAAATTTCTGAAATTATAATCCGAGTTTTTTAAATGTAATAAAAGAATTTTCTGTAAATAAACGTATTCAAAATTTTTAGTTTTAAAAAGAAAGAATATTTAAAATTAATATAATTTTTTTTTAATTTTTTCATTAATTCTATAACTTTTTTATAGAAATAATTAAAAAAGAATTACATTTTTTAATACATATCAAAATAAAATATAATAATTTATAAATGAAATTATGTGATTAATACATTTTTAAAATTAAAAGGAATTTTAAAGAATGGATGTAGAAATTGTAACAGAAAAATAATTTAATGATCTATTACAATAACATAAAAAAAAAAAAAATGAGGACCTCTTTTGATTTTTATATTTACAAAAAAACATTAATAAATAAATTAATGAAAATGTATGAAAAGATAAAAAAAAAAAAGTATATTTTCATTGAAATATAATTGAAATGAATTTCATTCTGAAATCATTGGAAAACTAAAAATTATCATTAATATTTTGTTGAGTTGTATGAATAAACGTTCTTCCCGTTCATAAAAGAAAAAATTTGTCATTAAATTTTTAAATATATATTTTTATTATATTAAAATGCTTATTTTTCATAAATTAATAATAATAAAGACAATATATATTATTTAAAAAATAGCTCAGAATTCAATAATTTTAGAATAATTTTTTTTTATGTTTTTCTTAAAATGTATGTATAATTTTTTTTTTTTTTAAATTTCGCGAAAATGTGTATTTTAAAATATATGAAAGATACCCTCCATTCCCAAAAAAAAAAAAAAAAAAAAAAAAAATAAAA